TTTTTTTCAAACATCGGGCCATTTTGTTTCACCATGAAAACCGTTTTATTAGATGTCTTATCAGAGACACTTGAAGGATTAGCTTGTTTGTAAACTGTCAGCGTGTACAGTGGGACAGTAATGTTTGTCAGAGGATTATCCCACGTTGTTCGTTTGCATAACAATGGAAAACCCGAACGTTCCTGGAGTACGGACTCAAATGCCAGCAGTTTTCTTCATTTTTCAAGCTCGAGCTTGAAATTATTCATTATGTGACACTCTTTATGAGTTCTATGATATCAGTGGTTAATATGTTTGGCCATTTTTAGTGTATATTTATAATAATGCAGCAAATCTACAGTGTTTTATTAAACAAAACTGTTTTTCGCGTTTTTCTCGAGTTGAAGTTTTGATCGAGAACGACTCATTGGGACCGCCGCCAAATCAAGTGCGTTCGAACTAGGACATTCAAACTCGCAGTTATCGTTCAAAAGATAATGAACAAAAGGTCATGTGATCTCAATGATGGTGCGGTGATGCGCATTATTTTTCTTCTTCTTTCTTGCAATTGCCGTGATTTTTTTTTTCTAATTTTACGAATGAAGTCACCTTTTTGCCTCGTTTTCTCTCATACAGCATATTTGGCGAAAACATTGAGACGTGAATGTGTCAACAAGACTTTACATTTATAAAACAAACCTAAAAAAAGATAACCTACTTGAAAGTCATTTTGCCACCGGTTCGAGCCATCCATCCTATATCACTAGTTTTCAGGTGGATATTGGGAAGTGTAATCGTGGGGCTTCTCGGTGAACATGGCGACGGCAGCGGACTCCTACGAACATGATAAATTCCATGGTCGGGAATGGTCAGTCGCTCCAGATTGGTCACCGGCCTTGGACTAGAGTGAACTTGTTTCCTAGCGATCTTCGTTTTGGTTTCTTCAAAGTGAGCTGGAAGTGCGAGTGTAGTTACTGGTCTTGCCACTGCCATGTTTTTTTTTTCTTCAGGAGAACAAACCTATCAGCGAATCCGCCTATAATGCAGACCACAGAACAACTTTGAAGCAGACAACAAAATTATAGCATTGGCGCAAAATTCGTAAACTTGCTGGACGTCGATAGCGACAGGGACACCAAAGAGAAAACACTCGCACCTATCAGTAGAGTTATTCTGTCCAACGTCGCGGTATGATGTTTTATTGGTAACTCGGTGAATATTCCCACACTAACGGCCGCGCGACCCTTGATGCTAATAACCGACACCAGGGGGCTTTAGTGGCAAGATAAATATCGTCACCCCGAGAAACCCAACGTGCAGCGTAAATCACGTGTAAGTATCATATGAATACAATAACGGACCTGTTATCCCGTTATTGTGACGTCAACGCATTCTGATCAAAATGACCGCCACGTGCACTCTATTGCAACCAGTGCATTGGTATAACGGTAATCCCCTTTTAGTGATCTTGCTGGCCGGAATCTATATGCAGGATACTTTTATTTGTTACTTTGTTTTTCAAGTGAAAGACGTCACTCACAACCTTCAGAAATAATGCCCCTGTTTACCCGCCCTGTTTCTGACTTTATGAACAGCGCCATCTATGAGTCTACGTATTTTACAACCCAAAATTCGGGAAAATATTGATCGCATTTGCGTTTACTGGGTTACGTTACGTTTTTGAGTTAGGTCAGGGTCACGAAGTGTGCACCAATCTTATTCGAACTTTCGTTTTGGGTTTGTATAATTCGATTCAGTGGCGATGTAATTAAAGCGCGGTGGTCGTAGCGCAGCCCGTGCTCGAATTTCATGTAAATAAACAATGTATTTTACAGGCCTTGTATACTTCGCTATGAGTTCCATATCGAACAGGACGCGGCGCGACGACCACCGCCCTTTAACAAGCATGTAAGCAGTCGGAAAGTGTATCATGGACGGAGAGAGTCGAGTTGATACGATTGTTCAGTATGCACCGATCATTTTTAATCATTTATTTGTCCAATGTGTTTATGGTCATTCCTACACCTTGATGGATGGCATGTTTGTTAATTACTAGTACGTAATTACTATTGATGGAACATTCGATTCCCGACTCGCCAACTGATGGGAATTTAATTCGGGGGTGGATATTACGTTTGTTACAGCATAGTAGCGATTTGTTTTAGTTTTTTTTCTTTTTCTTGGAGCATTTATCTGATCAACTATGTTGATATGAGTTGTGTACCATACCTATTTGTAGGTAATAGTATTTACAGAGCGAATGGCCAACTTTATATATCGCCCTCAATAGCTCATAATGGGCAATGTTTCGACCTTAATGTATTGTTGCGTTTCGAGCTCTTCTTAAAACAAATATAAGCCTGGTCACGTGTTTTACATTTCTTGCGATACAGGAGGTGCCGATTTTCGAACTTTCTCTGACGGATTTTGATTAGATGGTAAGACATATAGTGTTCTATGTTTTGTTTAAATGTCTTCTATTCAGTCAAAACCAGTATATTTTCGGGTTCTTCTCCGAAATGATAAGACGGTACTACTCACGTAGTACGACACAAAAGGCGACGAGTTTGGAACTTTTTCGGAGATTATATGTACTATGGCAGATGCTTCAATTTTTTGTGAAAACCGATAATTGCGAAATCATCTCCGTTCATTGAGATGTCATTGTACTTTCATCATTTTACAACACTTTTACAACTGTTATAATTACGGAAAGCCATTCAGGACCTACGATGGTTTAATAAAGATCCCACAGAGAAAGGTATAGAATTGAAAGTTGCATACAAGTATAATAGAGTTATTGTCAACGTAGTACTCCTAGCGCGAAACCAACAAAACAAACCCACGATGGATTCCCGCTTCACATAACTGAACCTGACATCGATGCACCAAGTTTAACATCTCTATCAAGGAATGGCCCGGATTGTCAGTATAATTGGACCCGCTGGGTGAAATCATGACTTTAACTGTGTTAAGTCCCAATAAAACAATTTCTGATTGATTGTCTACGGTGATACCCAATGCGATGCGATTCACACAATACACGTGCCTAGAGGGGGTCAGCGTGTCTTCAGAGTTCGTCACGCACGACAGGGCCTTTTCCCAATACATTGTCCTTCACTTTGATTCCAAAGACAACAATAGCCGAATAGTATACGTAAGCATCGAGGTTATTTGTAAAACCAACACCGAATGTTGCTTTTACTTTCCATCCATGTAATAAGGCGCTTTCATTGAACACGACACGTACCGAGGTTTACAAGGTGAGACCTCGATGCCTATTCTTGGCAGAATCACAATTACAGTGAGTGGAAAGGACACCGCATCTAACTATATCACGCACTGTCACCCCTTGTTGTCTTATGAGGTAGGGGTGGCACGAAGGCCAACCAACTGGGGGGATTAGGGCTATTATGTATTGATGGTGTCATTATGTATTGTTAGCGCGCCACTGCATCGTTTGTAGTTTTAATCCTGCCATTGGATAGGATTTGTACCGATCTTCAAATTATTCCGTAATCACTAAAGCAGTAATATTGAGTATTGCGTGTGTTATAACCGACGAAAATTTACTTAAATAAAGTTCAAGAAGTACGCCCTAGTACTTGGTTAACGACGATACAACTTTGTTTGGAAACTATTTCAATAACAGATTGAGAATTCAATATTGTATCGCAATTTGTCACTCTGAAAAGGGTGTCCGAAGTGTCTTGCAAAAGGAACTATACCTACGTTGATTTCAAACTTAAAGCTTTGTAATATGTATTTATCTACGCATTCAAGCGTCTGCCATTGACTGTTTAAATTACCCTTTAAGAATCGTCATACTCGTCAACGTGTATTGTGCTTCGCTAGAGCGGCCTTCAATACAAATCCTCTTTTCTCTAATTGTCATTCTTTGCTTCTGGACTCCAAGATAGTCTCATCTTTTTGTTAAACAATCCCGGTGGGCCTTTAAAGTGGGCGCCATCACCGTGACAACGGCTCAAAGGCTTGAAAGCCTTCCACGGTGGCTTCAGAATTTGCCAACAATTGAAATAGACAATGCTTTATTTCAATTGGGGTCTTCCAGTCGAACGATCATCACGCTGACTTTGTTATGGTGTTTTGCGACGGGGTAAGCTGTGGATACAGACCCTCGCCAAGTTGTCAAAACTAACACAGGAAAATGCACAGTTCAGATTGCAGAATGGACACGTAAGTCAACCGAACGAAATCACACGTGTGATGTTATTGTACCGATCACCACGACTAATGTAGTTACCCGTATGTAATTTAATGCACGCATGGGCACCACCTCGGAGAGAGCATGATACCGGCATGCATAGAGAGACGGACATGCTTCCTGGGTTGCACGAAAATTGCACAATACTTAATGTTTAACGACAGTGCTCAGCCGAGTTACAAATTAGCGATTCGTTTTAATGCCATATACGATGCGTTTAACGACTGTCTGAGTAGCTATTACGCGGCCACCTCTCATTGCACGGTCGCCTTGACACCGCGCCATCATAAATTTATGTTGTCACCGGGGTGGAATTCTTAAATTATGATTTATTTCGATGTTCAAATTCAAGTTCACTGAAATACAACAAACTATGTGTCTCAGAACCCGTGTCAGGTTCCGCAGTGGTACGCGTCATCGTATAGTATAAATCCCTTACTATCAAAATATATCCATCTCAGTTTGGTTTAGTAAAGTGTTATGTTTATATCATCTATTATATTTCACCGTTAAAGTAGAGAGGTGAAACCCGGAAGTACGTAAGTGATTGGCGCTCTTCGTTGCCATAGCCGGCGGTTTAATATGTACAGTCCACATATGACGTCACTGTTAACCGCATTCACCTCTTTATTCCTTTTTGTTATTCCCTTGCCTATACTACATTGATACATTACAATTGTGCAGAGCGAATTTAAGTCAGACGATTTTTTTAAAAGGGAGAGGAGGGTCCCGATTTACCACTCCATTTTTTTCTATAAATGCATTTACCCCAACCTGGGTTTTGTCTTCATTATATACTCGTTAACGGCCTCGCAACCTGGTAATATTTCATTATTTTCTCATCAAACATCGTGAATTAGTGAGACTGAATACTTATCGTACACACGCAAATTACCTGTTGCTCGGGACGCTCAACAGAATTGTCAATCTACATATAGTATGCAAATTCGACTCGCGTTCAGTTGTTCACTGATTTAACTTTTTTTTCCTCTTCTAAATTTGGAAAGAATGTCGAATCGGTCTCTATTATGACGTCATTGTCAGGCCATTCGGGTTTGCTAATACGTAACAGTTGGACGGGACCGGACGATTCTCGCGTGCAACGTCGCGGTGCAGACATGGTAGCATTCCAGCTGGGGAGCTAAGGGATGGTACGTAGCCGACTAAAGAAATAATAATAACTTGAATGATTTCAAATCGAGGCAATGCTCGGGAATCCTAAATAAGTCGGCATTAGTTCGGAGTCCGCTCGGCTGTGAAACAACGCAGATTTTATTTTGTAATATGAGGGAGAGAGGTGCGGATCACGGACCTAAATTACCGTGTTTCCCCGTTGTGTTGATCGCAAATCACGCCTCTTCTTGCCATTGTCGTATAGTTCACCTGACATCCCATTGAAACGAGTTTCTTTTTATCCGATTGTGGTACGCGTTCAATTGAGCACAGCGTTCGTTCGTTGGTGCATTATATATGTCGTCTCACTCACGATGATGGCTACCAAGACATTCGCGTCCAGTGTCCCGAGCGGCACGGGGAGTACAAACACGAATCAAAACACCAAGGCTGTACAAGCGATTCAAGTCCTGTCGCGATGGCGATCCGGAATGAGGTGAGAAATAAAAAAAAATACGATTTGTTTTGCGGTGTTTTGTTGTTGTTGACTGAAACCGTTTAGCCTGTAATCTAACACAGAATAGTTTATTACCGACTTGTCCACGAAAACTAACCGTTCAAAACGCTCTTGGTATTTTCAATGAAACTCTCAAAGTTAAAGAGGTACTTGGGGTGTTTAAATTGGTCCCCTATATACAAACGAGGCACAGTTTTAATGTTGAAGCGCGGTTGTAACGGTGTTTGTAATGACACAACCATATAAATGGGTCCATTCCCCACTTTTAATTGCCCACTACCATCGCGGAGTACGATGAACACACTCAACTATGAACGAACGGGTACTGCGTTCATGATATTGTTTCATGACGTTACATAATGGCAGTGGGAACTAACTAGTTAATTAACCGGTATTAGTTAATTATGTTCAAATTAACTGCGGAATAATATTTTGTACAAAAATAATTATATATAACAGTAAAAAGTAATTAATAGAACAGAAAGGTAATTTTCGCCTACTGTTTTTTAACCACTAAACACTGTGACGTATAATTAGTATGCTGACATAAAAATGCCCAACTCCGTTCACAGCGCATCCTAGTGTTTACGAACATGTTTGGACAGCATATAGCAACAAAAACAACAATGACAATTTGAAAGTACAAGCGTAAGCCTGTGTGAGGTATACGTGAATCATGAATGAAAGCGATTGTAGTTCTAATGCACCCCTGTTGTCAGCGTCAATACGAGCCTCATAAGATACATATTGAACTTGAATTTTAAGGTGAACCTAACTTCAATATTTATCGACTGTATTTCATTTCATTCGTAATTAAAAGGTCCACACGGCTCCGACATCGTCGGCTATCAGCGTCCCGTTTCGTGCCGACAGGCGGGAATCACGGTGGCGTAAACGACCATGGCAGACATGAAGCAGTGCCGCAAACCCAAATACAAACTAAATGGATTTCGCTTTTACGAAATAAAGGATTCGCTCACTTGAAGGCACCCACGAAAGATGAGATGCGACAGGAAAAGAAGAAATCAATGATCAGAGGACTGAAAGCGGATCCGGTAAGTTCATGATCAAGACTGGCGATAATCGCTTCGTCCCGTTTTGTTTTTTGCCACGAGGAGGAAATAATGTGGTATTTCTACTTTAAAATTTGTTAAGATACACATAACTTAGACACAGTCGCTCTGCGTTCTATAGCGGAACAGATGAACTGTATATCTAAATGACATTCGTGTTGAACCGCACGTATACATCGTGGGATGTGCGTTGTACTGACAGAATTCGAAAACTTGGCATACTTTGCGTGTATTAAATATAATAGCCAGCGCGTCTTCGGATACTGTTGTAAGCTCTGAAATGAGCATCTTCTTTGTAGAGAAGGGTGTGGAACACTTTATTTTTATTCACAATTCAAACTCTGTTATTGTAATATTACACACGTATTGTCATGCCGACACCTTTGTGTTCCATCAAATTGTTCATATGGTCAAGGTCATTGACATCAACATAATCCAAACCACAATCACTTTTGCTACCAATTCAGATTTTCGAATTGCTATACTATTTCAACACGAGGCGAAGGCGAACTTTATATTCAATACTCGTCATCTGTTATCTGCATGAACAGTAATTGGCAGAAACAAATGAGATAATTTCGTGAAGGTAGAAAAGAAATCTGCAAACTTCACGAAGTTCTCACGCATTTGTCTGAGTGATGGACCCGAGTTTGGAGAGCGGACGCTATAGCGGATAGTTGCTAATTACTGCATATTGTATTGACGGTCGAGCTTCAATAATCTTTTCGCCCCGGGGGAGCTCTACAATAATTGCGAAATGGTCATCGTTTTCTGACATCGTGTCTTCGGGGTTAAGACTCCTGGAGCGATGTGTGTGTGTCGCCACTCTTCCAATGTGCTGCTGTCATCGTAAGCTTTGATTTATAGATTGCGATGGACAGTCGGCTTCTAACAGTCCGATATAACTGTGAGAGAGAAAAGGAAATACGTCTTGTCGGAATTTGGGTTAAACGTTTCTCTTTTTGTGGGTGGTTTTAGTATAAGGCCAAACAAAAAAATTATCTGCGTGTTACTGTCTTCATATATTTGTACGGTCTCTATCTTAAATGTATTTCTTCTTCGGAGCGTCTAACACAATAGGACGAGTGATGTGTTGTTTTTTATAATTATATACGCTACCGAAATAGCACTGTAGCACGCTAGGTGTGTGATTGTATGATTTATCTGGCGAGGCGGGGTCGTTGCCTGAGTGTGATATAAATAACGAGAGTGCCACCATGTGCGTATGCTCCTCGGAATTCCATCTTTGTCATCAAGTTTTTACTTTTAATTAACTCTTAACTGATCGTGTCAGAGTAAAAGTACATGAAACATGCAGGGTTATGTTTAAATGTCTGGAAGACCAGACAAATTGATATTAAGTAACGCGCCAAGACTTGTAAAATGACAGTGGTGACCGGAGCGTTAGTTAGAGTGGAACTAATCTGTCTGAATGTAAATAATTGTCGCTGTTATAATTGTTCCCAGCTGATTGTACGATTGTTCACAACATGTAATAGTTAGTCTATATATCTTCCCTTCTATATGTCTTGTTTAATGTTAATGCTAATTGCTAAACGAGGCCAAGGTCTTTCCACTGGATTGGAATTACATTGTGGTTGATCACTACACGTGGGTACTCTAGTAGCAGTTCGCCGTACCATTATCGCACAAAACAAAAACTAACCGTGACGAAAACCGAGGAACAAAAACAAAACATTTCTTCGGTTACCTTGGTCATTATTGAATAAACAATTATTGTTGAGGTAGTTATCACTCATCTCTTAAAAGTATATTGTTTTCAAACCGGTTTGAAACTTAAAAGGGTTGATGTTGTGACGTCATAGTGCCTGTTTACACGTTCTTCTGGTATGTATTTATTTGGTCATAACATCCACGACACACGCACATCCATTAAACTTTAACTGTGTGTTGTTTACGGCGTGTTGTTTACATATACTTGTGTGCAATACCGTAGTTACGAAAAAAGTAGGTACGCGCATTCCAACTGCGGATAAATTTCCATCCAAACAAATCGGGTGAATTGACTACAGAAGATATTTACAGACATTGTAGCATGGATTGCCGCCATGTTGATATGCCATCACGCTCGTTAGTGTTACCATGGCAATAATCGACTTAAATAGACTAACTGTAGCGAAGTCACGTAAGGAGTTGTTGTTTTGAATGAGATATCCGATAAAGTTTACGTCACTCATTACGTGGATCAGCGACTTTAGTGGTCTATTGACAGGGTGTATTGTCTGTGACGTCGCTGACACCGACACCACGTCGTAGATAGCATAACTTATCAAAGTGCAAGGGTTTATGTACTAGATTTAAACTATTAATGTTCAAAAAAGTGTACTGTATCCAACAAAGTACTAGCGTTTAAAGGGCAGTGATCGTCGCGTAGCACGTTCAAATTTCATGTAAATAAACAATGTATTTTACCCGCGTTGTATACGTCGCTATGAGTCCCATATCGAACAGGACGCAGCACGACGACCTGCACTCTTTAATTGATACAATGCACCTCGTTTCGCAAGCAATATAATTGCTGACTGATATAACTTAGCCAACCATTTCCTGTCCTTCAGTGTCCTGGATACAATGTCAAGGACAAACTGCGTCCACGAATATTATTAGTGTGTCACTCAGGCTTGGCGTCTCAAAACGTGGTATTCATTTAATATAATCGATGAATTTGTTACATAATATCATAGACCTGCACACCATGTACATGTAGTTGAATGATGAACTGAAACATGGAGATCTAAAATCTAGTATGACAAATCAGAATAACTATCTATCAAGTGTACGATTTTTTTTTCACAGAATATCGAACAATTTCAGTGTAGTTAGCTAGTTGTCATGGTTGTTGATTTCTCACTATGTATGCTCGCACATGGTTCCTCGGGTGTCGTTGGAACGTGAGATATCTCGTGGGTTTAGAAGAGTAGTGACGTTATACTAGTAATGCTTGGATATTTATGGAGGTAGCGATCGAAATTAAGATGTAATGTCACATTCACCGTATTTTCATCATGGGTTTATGCGATCAAGATGCGACAAAATAAGGAAGCACATATCGTCACTGACACATTTGAAACGATACACCTCATGGAAGCTCAGACAGTTCAGACACTTTCTTTAGTTTGGATAGCTAAAACTTATAAAATCACTGGTTTGAGAAGGAAACATCTTTTTTTTTCTGTTAATTGTGCATATTGACAGGTTTTTAATTTAGTACATTTAGCTATCAACGAAAGTAAAACAAGTTGAATACGATTAGTTGGTTTTACTAGAATTGACGACGAACCACCGTATGTAACGTAAAATGTGACCGTACGTGTGAACCATTCATACCCCAGTAACAAAAACAGGATTATCATTCGTGAAATAATCACACAGTTTTACTAGTGAAGTATTAAACCAAGTAAATGTCTCCTACTCTACTATACAGTGTGTGTAACGAATTACGACGGCAATTTAATTCAATAACCATGCCATTACATTCAGCAACCATAACTGTATTTAGAAGTCTTAACAAACGTCATTTAACATATCTTAGCAACTACGTATATAGTGCGAGCCAAGTTAATTTCCGTAATGCTATTAATAAAAAAACACTTTATTTGGTCAAACATGTCCGTCGAGAATATTGATCTAAATGTAGGCAATAATAATTTGAATGTATTCATATTATAATTTAATAAAAATGTAATTCTCTGCTAATTAAAATGTAATTCATTCATTCATTCATTCATTTATTCATTGTTTTCAAGTTCATGTGTCATGATTTGCTCGATAAGTTTAAGTAATCGTCATACAAGTGTTCCCGTTAAACATTGTTACTCGCACGTGACAATTGGAAAAACATGGGTTAAAATACTTGGTAAATAAATTTAAATTACAAAACGTAATTACACTACAGTGGATGTACCAAACGTTCCATGCGATGTATTCAAGGCGTGTTAATTACATTTGCTTACATGTCTATTTAATTTTTTTAAATTAAACGACAATTTATATTAGATACAAAATAAAGACAAAAAAACAGCAAATACTTAAATATTCATGTCTGACGTCACGTGGCCTTTACAAGCCCACAGCTTCTATGATGACTACATTGTCATGGAATTCACTCTCTTGTAATAGCAAACAGGAAATATGTCCCAACAAATGTGAGAACATTTAAACGATTTGACGAGATGGATTCGGTTAAAATGCCACAGCCGTCGCATCACGTCGTGTTTGAAGTATGGTCAACAGTAGACTAATATACATGTTTGACATTTTTAGCTCAATCGTGTAAATATCCAACACGTGTATTGTAAACTAAAATGATTGTCAAAATGTATTAGTCTAGAATTGTTACACTCTTAAAATCTTTGAAAGTTTGCCAACTTTTAAAGAAATTAGATACAAACAAAAAACATTTGGCATTGTTGAAATCTGAATTTGGACTGGGAACTGAAGGCTTTCAAATTTGGCATTTCAGTCACTAAAAATCTAAACGTGCAGTTATTTTCAGCTCAAAAATGGGGTTCGTATCATGTCACCCTTTGGTCGTTATTATCGAGATCTAGTATTGTCCCGCGTAGCCAGCTACTTCCAAAGTTTTCCCCAGGCAGCAAAAACAGCCACCATCAAATACGTTCTCTTTGAATAGTCGCAAAGCAGATCTTTGGTGCTAGGTGTCTCACAACTGTCCAGATAACGACAGCGTGTAGACATGCTGACACAATACTAAGTTAACTCATAGTATGTACGTCTTAATCCGACACGTGCTAGCCATGCTAATAACACACGTTACAGAATGTCTTCCAATATCTACTCTACCTGCCGTCGGAATTCACCGCGTTGTCACCATGACAACAGTGAACGAGTACATTAGCACTAATTTGCTTTTATCGTTACTGACTGCAAACTCGGATCTGAAAGCGAGGCTAATTTAATTTATACTCTAGTCCATTCTATCATGATATATTTAATGAAAT